GAGGCGGGGGTTGGTGTCTTCCAGGAATCGTGTTCTCTTCGTAGCGTTTAAGAGCAGTGACATTAAACACGGGATGGCAGCGAAGTTCACGGGGTAGTTCCAAGCGAAAAGCATTCGCTCCAATCTTAGCCTGGATACGATACGGACCAAACCACTTGGGTTGCAACTTCCGAGAGGGCTGGCCACGAGCTTCCGGGGTCAGTAGAAAGTCTCTGTAGACAAGAACGCTATCACCAACCTTCAAATCACTGGGCGTTCTCGTCTGGTCTGCGTATAGAGCTTGCCTTGCCTGGGCGTCGAGCATAGCATCTCGAGCTATCCTTAGTGCGGCTTCCTGCTCATTAAGCCAATCGACCGAATCACTCCTTTCCCCTCCCGTAAGAATGAATTCGGGCGGGGACTTAGGGTCAAACCCATAGTTCAGATAGAACGGTGTATTAGCTACAGATGACTGTTGTGAACTATTTATTGCAAACTCGCAGAGTGGTAGAAGCGAATCCCAATTGTCCTGTCTCAAGTTCACAAATGCTCTTAGAACATCTCCCACTTGCCGGTTAACTCTCTCTGTCAAACCATCCATTTGAGGGTGGTTAGCAGTGCTGAATGCCAATAGACCGATCCCCTTATTATACTGGGTTCGAGCACGGGGGCAACCTTACTCGCGATCGAGCTAGTTTTTGAACGTGACAGCATCTTTGACAGTGTGTTTCAGGTTTGTTTTGGAATGTCTTCTGCTTAGTTCAAGTAGTTTGCGATGGCTTCGAGCGGTGCTGAACCTCCTGCTGGTAGGAGCAGAGTCTCCGAGAGAGACATGGACTGTGATGCAGCTGTAGGATTTTTTCAAGGCGCGGGAGGGAACGATCTCGGGCCACAAACAGGAGTTACTCCAGAGGTGAGTTTTGCTGTTGTTGAAATATTCGAATCGTGAATCGTGTTTTGAGATTTATTTTGTGCCTAGGCTTTAGCAGACCGTATTTCTTTCTCCTTGAGATCGGTGCTGAAGACAATAGTAACCTTTTTCTGGTCTGCCTTTTACTCTCCAGAGCCATCTTCTATGAAGGTAACCGTGGTGCTGCCAAGTCACCAAGTCGCGATCGCGATCAGCAGCCCTGAAGTGGAAAAATCGATTTTCCAACGATCTGGTTGGACATCAGCCACTAAAGTACTTCTGATTTGCCTGTAGTGACAACAGCAGCCATCCTTGGACACCTTGCAAAGACAGGAAAAGCCACTGGTGGAAGCGACTGCTATGAGGTGACGATAGCAGTGCAGTGGTGATCGCTGTTTTGTCAAGTCGAAGGGCTAGCCAACCCAGAGGAAGCAAAAAAACCGATGAGCAGTGCGTGGTATTTGTTGAGCGTGAAGAGCTAGAGGAGGATAGTGCAAACACATGGACGGAGTGGATGGTGTTTGAAGAACAGTGTGCTGTGTGCCGGCTGGTGGTGATGGTGGTCTTTGTCAGCATGTATTCGTGCTGCTTCTTGTGGTGGAACACTTCTCGCCCAGGAAGGCAGATTGCGTGCTCCCTGGCCCTCAGTCGGCAATGGGGCATTTGTTCCAGGAACATTACCCCAGAGCCAGTGATGAGTCGTACCTTTGAAAAGTTTGAAGCTTGCTGTTAATCGCAAGCGTAGCGCAGTGGATTGCTCCCTCTTCGAAGCACGAGGGCCAAAGCTTGCCGCTGTCTACAGCAAAGTGTGTGTGCGGTTCTTTCGAACCTATGAATATACCCCCCCCCTCTATCTCTTAGGAAGACTGCATGTTCAGAGTGAACTATTTTCTAGTATATTTAATGTGAGACGGGCTGTTTACGCCCAAGATGAAGATACAGTTTTTTTCCGTTTCTATACCTTCCTAATAAAATACATCGTGACAGAGCTTTCGGTCATACTCCGCTGTACTACATCCTCAACCCGCCACCACCATGCGCTCTTGGCCGAACTAATGCACGAAGCATAAACACACCAGCACAGCAAGGACACTTCCGTTGACAGATATTATTTACGCCTCTAGACAGCTGTTTCGTTTCTTCTAGCTCATTGTTAGAGGAGGATAGTAGCAGGATATTAATGATGAAATAATATAAGATGATACTAGTAGACGGTTTATGGTCCGATATTGATGATTGGAGATCTAAGAAAGCAATGACAGTGATTGCGAAATGGATAATATTATCATGATTATATGCCAGTCTGGTAATGTGTTGTACTAGTGAACAGTATTGAAATCATCACTGCATTCGATGCAAATATTGGTATACCTTTGGTTTCAGTATTGGAAAAAAAACCTGGTTGATTTGGTTGCATCTGCGACTGGCTACCGGGTGTTGTGACCGGCAATGTTACCATGGGAGAAAATAAGAGCGCAAGGATCTGTTGGGTCTTGTTGTGCTGTCCCGGTGTGAGAACCCTAAGTGCATGGCAAAATAGAGCTGCTTCATCCCCATTGCAGAATGTCTTGCGGTACATGGCATTGATGACTGAACATCTCGCCAGCTCACCCAGATGGGAATCATGCCCAAACGGAGGAACAAGACATCTTTCCAGCTCAGCTAGCTATATACCGTGAAACGGATGGTTAACTTGTGCCACGCATGCCAGCTTCTGTTCCATTCGGCCCAGGCTTAGACACATCAATGCCAATAGCAGCTGATCCTTCATTACATGCTCATTGGCGATTTACGGCCACCTCCAACTGTATCCGCCGTCCCTCAGCTTCCGTCTTCGCAGATCTGGCGCGGCGCATTACGTTTTCTCAGCTAGGCTCAAAGAAGTCCCACAGAGCGATCCAAACACCTGAAGGCAAACCAGTCAGAAACTGGAGCGGCTCAGAGTCTTTCTTTATGTTATTGTACGTAAGCTGTTTTTCGGCTTTCTTCACCCCAGTCCTCACATCGTCCAACTGCTCCACGAGACTCTGTACACGAGCTCTACTTGCTGCCAACTCCTGATGCAGATGCTGCACTTCCATTACAGGACCAAACTGCACTAAGCCAGGTTCCTTTCCAACTCAAAATGCCGTTGCCTCTCAGCAAAATACTGGTTTGCGAGCATGGGGAGCTCGTGATGCAGACGCTGCACTTCCATGACCGAACTGCACTAGGCTCAGCAAATACTGTTTTGCGATCATGGGGAGCAGGGCGTCCAGACTCCACTCTCTTGCGAAAAGCAAACCTGGTACCGTAGGACAGCTGTTTGGTTTCCTGGACTCATCCTGTCCTTGTAGAGCTGGGCAAAACGATTTCGATTTCGGGATCGAAATGATCGCTGCAACTCAAATATTCAGAGTGACCCTAAAACTACGTCCTTCCTCACGGGGAATAGCCTGGATCCGCTTGCTCCAGGCCGCAGTGGCTCCACACGAGGAAAGGAGTGAAATGACTTGTTTGCTTCGTCCTCCTGTTCTGACAGTGAGGAACGCAGCAATGTTCTTAGAAGGCATCCTGAAGTCGTAAAAAGGAAGACGTCTAAACAAAAACAAAACAGCTCAAATCAAAAGTCCTTGTGGCATTTTTTTGTAGACAGGCTTGCACTGCATGTAGATCTCGTGTGCTCTGCACTTCGCATGCGAGAAGTCACGCACAGTCGCGGTGAGGTCGCGTGTGTGCAGCAGGATCCCACGCGACTGCGGAGTTGCCCCCTTGCTCGAACCCAGACAATAATAAGGGGATCGGTCTATTTAGTTCCTAGCTGAGAGAATACTTCTTTGAAAAAAGCTGCAGTGAATCGTGGATCGCGATCGGAAACAATGGTTGAGCTCAGCCCGTGCAGACGAAACACGTTTTGAATGTACAGTTGAGCGCTGCCCTTAGCATCAATCTTCGAGTTTGTTGGAACAAGATGTACGCATTTCGTAAGTCGGTCCACAAAGGTGTAAATTGCGTCGAAGCCACGAGAAGTAAGGGGCAATCCAACAATAAAATCCATTGAGATATCCTGCCAAGGACTATAAGGTATTGGAAGTGACTGGAGAAGCCCTGTTCGTGGCTGACCTCCCTTCGTTCGCTGGCAGAGATTACAGGTTTTGACAAATCTCTAGATATCGAGACCCATTCGGGGCCAGTAGAAAAAACGTGCTAGGCGGAAGTACGTTCGATCACGACCCGGGTGGCCAGCCGTTGCACACTCATGGTGTTCTTGAATGAGCTTTAACCGGACACCGCACTGTGGTATGCACAACCGGTTATTGGGGGATGCCTTGAGGTACAAGCGATCAGTGGATTCGTCCCAATAATAGCGATCATGCAAATTATCTCGGAGAGAATGCTTCAATCTTTCTATGATGGGAGTTAGCTCTTTGTCTCTCTGGTAGGCATCTGATATTGTATTGGACACGTCATCATTCATTGCTAAAGCATACTCAATAGCATTCAAACGTGGTACTGCATTCTCCACGAGGTTACTCTCATGGCGATCTGGGCGACGCGAAAGGGGATCTGCAGGGTTCTCTCTGCCGGGTCTGTGACGGACTGTGTAGTTACAGTCAGCTAGGAATTCAACCCATCGCGCCTCTCTCTTTGTAATGCTTGGTTTTGTTTTCAGATAAACTACCGCCATGTTGTCTGTAATGACCTCAAAGTGTTGAAAGAGGTAGATGCGCCAGGTCTTTAGCGCAAACACTACGGCCAATGTTTCTCTTTCTGTAGCTGTATAATTCTGTTCCGCAGCAGACAGTTTTCGGCTAGCATAAGCCACTGCATGCCAGGCATCTTCCTCTAGTTCTTGGAGAAGAACACATCCCAAGGCGAAATCGCTTGCATCTGTTACCACTCTAAATGGTCGGTTCACATCAGCCAGCCGCAATAGGGGCGCATTCAACAAGGCATGCTTTAGCGATTCAAAGGCATGTTGCCGAGAGCTGTTCCACTCGAATCGTGCATGTTTTCCCGTTATCTCCTCTAAGTTCTTAGAGAGCGATGAGTATTGATCTATGAATCGCCTAAAATAATTCGTAAATCCAAGAAATTGCCTCACCTCTGTGACGGAAGTCGGAGCGGGCCAGACCTTTACTGCGGCAATCTTGTCTGGGTCAGGGGCGATGTGCAGTCCATCGATGCAATGTCCCAGGAACCGCACACTCTCCACGCCAAATTCACATTTTGACCGTTTGCAAAATAACTGGTTGTCCCGGAGCACGTTCAATACCGACCGGACATGCTGCATATGCTCCGACCACGTTTTGCTGAAGATGAGTATGTCATCTAGGAACACGACTACGAACTCCCTCAGATATGGTTGAAGAATCGTATTCATCATGGATTGAAATGTTGCCGGTGCATTGGTGAGACCAAATCCCATGACCCTAAATTGGTAATGCCCAAAGGGAGTGTTAATCGCGTCCTCAGCTTGAATGCGAATCTGATTATACCCTGATCGGAGGTCTAGTTTCGTGAAGTACCTAGCGCCCTGTACGGTATCGAATAAATCATCCACATTGGGCAAGCATGCCTTGTTCTTAACAGTTATCTTGTTTAGCTCCCTCCAATCGCAGACCATGCGTAACGAACCATCAGCTTTCTTGACAAAAAACACCGGTGCACCAAAGGGGGACTTACTTGGTTCTACGAAACCCTTTTTCAAGAGTTCTGTGAGCTGTTTCTTCAATTCCTCCATTTCTGGCCTGCGCAGGCGATAGGCAGGTCGCGATGGGGGTGATGAGCCTTCCTCCAGGCGGATTTCGTGGTCTACAGACCTCTCTGGTGGGAGTCTAGCTGGCAGATCATCCGGGAAAAGATCGTCATAGTCACGGAACATGGCCTTGAGATCTGGGTGCTCGTTCTGAGTGGATTTGTCGGGAGGTTCCTTGCCAATGCCGTCTTCTACGCTGACCCACGCCAGAACACCTTCGTCTCCACTCCTAAGGGCATGCCTAGCCTGACGACCAGATATGAACATCGCCTCCACAGGAGCGGTCGGTTCGCTTTGACTGGGCGACGCACAAGGCAAACCATTCGAGTTCAACCTGACTTCATTCGTCCGGAAGTTTATGTCTGGATTGTTACGCGTTAACCAAGGTTTCCCCAATATAGCGTCATAGCGATGAAGGGGGAACACCGTGAAGGTTTGGTTATCGCTGAAGTCGCCTACGATAACCTTCAATTCATGGGTCGTCTCCATGGGAAACGAGCTTGATGCTCCATCAGCCAGCGTGACATTCAGGTTTTCCGAGCCAATTTCGGTTGGCAGGTTAACTCTCCTGGCAAACAGTTCGGCAATGAAATCATGGGTCGAGCCCGAATCTATTAACATAAGCGCGCGACGACCGTTGATTTTGCCTTCTACACGCAGGAGCTCATGTTCCGTTTCCACATTGACGCTGGTAACCTGGGCCTCAATAGTTGGTGTAACATCTCGCTTGAAATTGGCTTCGGAGCATTCAGCATCATCGTCAACATCCTCCACAGCGAGGCTACTGAATCGGTTACGGGTAGAGACGGAGCACACACTACACGCAGGTGATGCCTTTTCTTGCTGCGTCAGTAATCGCATCGGCCTTACTGACGTCCACCGTTTGGGTGATCTCGATGCTGCGGGCAATTCTGGGCCATATGGCCTGGTCGACGACATGCGAAGCAGCCCCCCTGGGCTCGTAATGTCTCACGTTCCTCGGGGAATAGTTTTGTTAGCTTTTTGCTACCT